AAGACCACCATTAGACTCCCCGTGACGAGCTGCATCGAATAGATACCCATTTTATGCAAAAAAATCAACTTTGAAATTTGACCTAATTTGACCTGACCTTGACCTGACCTTCACAAAAACGTGACCTAGGCTGGCCCCAAAGGCTGCCTAACCCACATAATCGCATTTGTCATGTAAAATGGACCATAAAACATGTATCACACGACACATTCATATTGTGACCCCCGGTGACCTGACCTCGCTGTGACCTGACCTGGTATCAGTGACCTCAGATAGCAAAGTATGTGTTTGACGAACAATGTACCATCGATGGTTTTCAATAAATTACCAATTTACTCGCTTTCACAGCACATTTCTTGAATTGCCTGTGAACGGTGAAAATCTGACCTTTGACCTGACCTGTGACGTCATCGGTTTGACCTAGGTCAATGAAATTTGGTCACAAGGTAGTTCCCGGGTGGGGCTATCGAACGCCGTTTGAATTTTGAAAATCGGCCGGTAACTTTCCGAGATCTTAGGGGGGGGCCGAAACGGCCCCCCCCCCCCCTACGGGTGGTAGGGTCCGCCGGTAGCCCTACGGGGCGCGGGTTAAGGAACAGTTTTGAGGTGTTTTGTTATATAACTCAAGAAGTGTTTGAGATGGAAGCATCAAGTTATCAGCATGTTATCTGGAATTTGGTGCTTTACATGCCTGCTACATTGAAATTTTAAAAATATATACCCTGCATATTTTTCCTTATTACTTCTCTTCACTGTCCCTTAGCACCCTGATGTGGGGTATTAAGGGACTTATATATAATTCCAAGAAATGGTCATCAAATGCTCACAATTGGGGTGTGAAAGGGCACGCAATTAATTTATTGAAGTGTTCTGCATATTCTGTCACCAAACAAGTCAGTTTCATTCGCCACTAATGGGCTTTTCAGCCAATTACATGTAATGCACCTTAGCTATAAGGTAAACAGAACCAAAAAGTACCCTTCTGTCATCAACAAAAACCCACTTTGAAGCTAGTCACTTGTCATTATGTTGCCCTCTTTGTTTTGACCTTTTTATGATGACAGATCACATTTACCTACATCAGTCTTCATTGGCCCATCATTAGAACAGGGAGTTTTGAGGTGCTTTGTTATATACCTAACATGTGCTGTGTTAGAGATATAAGCATGGACTTGCCAGCATTTTATGTGGAATTAGGTGGTTTCCATGCCTACTGAAAGAAAACTTTATTTAATTATATTTAGATCTTATTTTTTTTCTTCTTCCCTGTCCCTTAGCAGTTAGCACCCCACTTTCACCTCCAACTATGCATGCATCTAGAAAAGAGGAAGAGGAATGATGAATGAATATGTGGATTGGTATAAGGCTTTCAGGAACATGTACAATATATGTGACAGTACAGCTATGCATTCATTTTCCCTGTACACCTACTAGTTTCTGTGGTACACACAGAGTTTTGGAGATGTTTCAATTTTATGAAAATGTAGCATGGTTTTCAAAACCATTTTTGGACCAAATCATTTGCATGTAAACCATGCCATTTGTCCTATAGTCAAGAACAAAACAGTGTCAGATGTCAACTACCACACTCAAGATTTTATTCAACTGTCTCAAATTAGGAAGCACCCTGCAGCCCACTGTCCCTTAACACCCTGTGTTACAGTAACTTTATTGTTCTTGAGGCCTGAGCATGTGGCTCAGTTTTTCCAATTGTGAGTCTGAGGGCTGTTCACGGACCCTGTGTGCGGTCGGACCGCACACAGCCTCCAAGCTCCGCCCACTGCGTCCCTACGTCAGCCTTGCGTCACCGCACACAGCGACCGCTGTGGCCGGTCGGGACTGGCCACAGCGGACCGTCCACCGCACGCAGCCGTGACGTCAGAGCCGCCTACCCATCCCCTACCCCCACGCCTGCTGGACGTACCGCACACACCGCACGCAGCAGTGTGCGGTGCCCGTGAACACCCCTCTGGTGTGCTATAATTGATTTTAACTGCTCATTGTACACAGTAAGCACATTCAAAATTTGTTTTGCAATTTCATTTGATATCTTACTCAAATCTTGCAGGTCCCAAATGTTTGGAATATAACAACATTCCTAGAAATAGAATTTATGTACATGATAATCACAAAAATATATCCATTATAGTTAAGAGTGTGTACGAGTTGTATGTTTCGAATGGATGTGTTGCTTGTGTGTGACATGTGAGTGTTTTGCCTCTTGACTTTGCGTCCTGATTCATTTGCTTTTATCCCTTTTGACAATAGGCTCATAATAGCCACAGCTATTATGTGGAGAGCCTGCAGACGTAAAATACAAATACAAATACAACAAAAATCAGATTATCATGTTTCTGAGAGAGGAAGTCAGCTCAGGGTGCTTTATCCCATCTGGAACGGCTGGTGGTATGAATATGGACCATTACAAAACATGCATCATTACCTAACCCCAGTATCTTTATCTTGAAGGAAATATAACGCTTCCTCAAATCAGTGTTTTATCATTTTTGCTCAAAATGATTAAAAAATATATTTGTGCAAAAAATACATATTTTCATATAGGCAGAGCTATCTTTCATCTTAGGTAGAGGCTAAATTGTGTTTTGATCAGTGATCTGCAGCGGAAGCTTATAACAGGCTGACCAATCATATTGCATAGGTACCTAGCTACCTAGCTCAATACCAAATGAATGTCAATCTGCAAGAGGTGCTGCATTATTTGCATTTTTCCATAAGGTCCTTCGTAAGTAATTAGGAAATGATTTTGAAACTAAGATTAATTTATTCAATATCATTGCCTTATTGTTGGCTAGGATGCATGTTGGGGGTGTAAAAAACTTCAGAATTATGCTAATGTACTAGTCTCCACTCAAACCACAAAACTGCTAATAATTTTACAGTTCAAAATCCCTGATCCCACGTTAAAGGATCACAAACGAATGGATACGAGCAAGGCGATACGAGAGAAAACATCAACATTCATAATTCTGACCTTCCCAGAATCCTCGGACCTGGAACACTTGTTCTTGTTGGATTTGGTTGGATTATGGCAAGATTAAGGCGCGTAATTGCAGCGTAATTCCTCGAACTCCACTGAATCCTACATGTCCTGCGCCAGTATTGTATCACATCAAAAATCTTGGGCAGCGTTCGATGTCTCCCGGACGGCAAAGATTCTTTGCCGTCCGGCCAATCACGTCCAAGGTCAGTGGGGGCTCGGCTGCGATTATGAAACGTGATTGGTCGGACGGCGTAGAATCTTCGCCGTCCGAAAGACATCGAACGCCGGGTTGGCATCGTACGGCACACAGCATTGAGCATTATTAAATTGTTTTTTTTATAGGCCTTTACCTTTTATCCTTTTATACCTTGCGCGTAAGATTCTGAGTTTGTGAGTCAATATTGAATTGACGGAGTTGAGAGTTCTGCAAGTTTTGTAGCCATTGGCTGCTTTTAGGTGAATTATTTACAAAAATCTGATAGGGGCTGGTTTGAGCCCTCATGGGTGTAAGGGTTTAACTGTGAATATGCTTAGTAAAAAAAACATGTTCTGAGACCAGTTAAACCAACAGAAAAATAGCCGCCTGCTGGAATTTTTGGTATTAGTATACGTGAGGTCCGAGTGGCGAACCGATTATGAAAAGCACACTATACGATGTATTTTGACCTCCTGATTTCATATCTGATAGTTATTTATTCTGGAAACAAGTATCAAAGCAACTATGGAATACTTACAATTACCGCAAGCCGCTACCGCACTCCACGCTAGCGCAATACTTAACCTAAAAATATTTGATTTACTCTTGCCTGCAATCTATTCCTGCAAGTAACTTTTTCCTTATCTCCGGTAGGCAAACATCAGTAGGTTAGGTTAGGTTAGGTTAGGTTAGGTTAGGTTAGGTTAGGTTAGGTTAGGTTAGGTTAGGTTAGGTTAGGTTAGGTTAAGTTAGGTTAGGTTCTTGTTTTTTTTAATTATTACGTCACTTTCATAACACCATTTGTATCGTTTTCTTTTTCCCCACCCAAAAACCCCGGTTCCCAAAATTTCCCCCGAAATGGCAGCAATCCAAATATGGCAGCGCTAGAAACGCCCACGTTTTTCATTCGTCGCGTGTTAATGCCGCCGGGTGGTATTGTCATGGATTACCTACTACCTGGATCGGCAACTCCGCGGAATTCCCATTGTATTGCGCGACCGCCCGAAAGTGCTGCCACCTATCGAGCAGACTGATCCCTGCTAAGGACAGCCCGCCGCCGCCGCTCAGTCAGACAGCGGCCGATACCAGCAAAGTCCGAAAATGACGGGCAAGTTACATGGCCTGAACCAGCCGCGGCTAAGTTTGGCATAGGCCAACAGTGTCGGGTTCCGGAAGAGCGGTCCAGGGCGGTTCCATAGACTATGTATCGTTTTGGAAAGAATGGTGTGGTGGGTCGTTTACCGAGCGCGACTGGCCGATTTTACCTCAGCACGTCGTATTGTTAGCTCTCATGGCCAGGCCAGGCGCCTTCTGCCAGCTGCCTGAAAATACCTTCGATCAAACGACTTTGTCTATCACTCGGATTGCCCCTGATCAGCTTGAGCATTCCAACTCAGTCGTCGGTAGACCGCAGAGGAAATGTGCCGTCCGCCGTGAAACATCCAAATCATTGCTACAGCCATTTTGACTGACTTATAAAGGTCAAGACAAATGTTGTCATATCGATTAACGAATATCTGCACCACTGACAATTTCTATCAAGAAGCATTCCAGGATTATAAGCTTACCATACACCGTTTCGTTAAAAAACTGTTTCCATATTGAACTTATATTTGCCGTCGCATGAGCGAATTGCCTACTGAGTACAGGCTGAAACCGATTCTTTCCGCAGTCAGAAATCATGTGCGAGACCGAGAGCCTATTCAAATAAACCCCGGTCGCACTCGCATCCATAACACGCACCTCCTTGCGTGCGATTGATGCTATTGCAACTTAATGGATTTGAATAGGCTCTCGTGTGCGATTTCCTGACTGTGGAAATAGTCTGTCTCGGCCTGAAGTTCAGAATTTAACACAGGTTCAATGACAACTAAGGTGAACGATGACACACAATGTATACAATGCATATTATTGCATAGACTGATAGGTAGGTTTCGAGAAACGACGTGCCACATGCCTACTAAACGGTGTCGTAGCACCAAGCTGGTTTCCAATTCACACCTACCACCAGAGTATATCGGGAATAAATGCAAACACGATGCACACGAACGCATTATCCGTTCAATGGGTATGCCCGTAGTGGGTATGTTAGTCAGTTACAAACGCTGTGATACCTTAAACATTTTCGGTCGAGCCAGTTCACAGTTCACACCCCGGCCGCCTGCTGCCGTCACGTCACACGTGTCCGCAGTGGGCGTGCACCTGCGAGTGCGTGCATCATAATTCACATCACAAATCACAGGATGTCAATTCAAGTCAGCACACCGTGGAAACTGAACCCATCTCTTTGATCTGAAACGAAGAGTGAGAGAGGGAAATTAGATACCTGAGCATACCGTAATGAAATGGAGAGTGAGGGCATTCCAAGGCAAACTGTTTCCCCACAACATCACAAAAAGTATTTTACATTGCGATGATGTTGGCAAAAAAATAAAATAAATAATACCTTGACAAGATACTCCCAAACAAAAGTACCCAAAAGCTTAACACCTTATCTGCTAGGCTTACATAGTTTAAAATGGCTTTATCTTACTTAAATCTATCTGCTATCTACACACAGTTTGGCTAGCACTCGTTCTACAAAGGTGATTGTTATATATCATTCAATAGAGGGAAACTCACAAACTTCTTCGTACTACTCTGGACCTTTTGACTTTAAGAAAAGAAGGAAGCTGATGTCAGGGACCAGGGTCGGCACTCTTGTCATTTGTGGTTGACAATGGCACTGGCTGCCATTAGGCTTTCTTTTTACTGTCAAATGGTTCAGTTTTTCAGGCTGAGAACATGATTTATTTAAATGTGTTTTTTTTTTATTCAATATCATTCAACTATTTATGAAATCAGGGCATTGGCAAATGGCAAGCAGGTTATAAAAATTAGCTGAAATGACATGATGCCAGTCAACTGCTCCTGAAGTGTGTTGCACTCTAGTCAGCCGTTCAGAGAAATACGTAGGAAACTGATATGGGTGAGCAGTGAGTCTGAGCAGTGAGCAGTTGACCAATTTATAGGTAGGTATTGGCACTACACAATATAAAACAGAAACCATTTTCAATAGTTGAACAAATATTGAGTTAAAAAATAATGGCACTCTAACTGATTTTGCCAAACTAAAAACTTAACAAAAACTTAAGCAATTCACAACTAACAATGCATCATCCACCACCTATCATGCGCTGCCAAGACCGAAATTGTATCACAAGCAAAACCATGGCTATATCAGCGGCATGTATAAGCTTGAGATATGATGTGTCAAACATATAACAAACATATAAAAACATAAAATTAAACATATAAATAAGTGATTAACCATTCCAATTACGGAAATTATACGATTCTTAACGACATATGGCGAGAAGCAATGTGCGCCAGTATCGTCAACAGCCGCTCTTTACAGTCATATTTTAGGCCACTCAGACCCTCCAACCACAAAAAAAAACTTACCAATCTTACCTTGCCATCTTCCTCCATCTTCTGAAACCTTCCAATCTGCTCCAAAGGGGCTTAACTTTTCAAAAAACAAGGCAAACGATCCTACGACGCGACGCCGACCATTGTTTTGAATAGCACCCGCTCCCCCGCGTCCTTAGCGCTCGACACCACTGCCACCTAGCGGTGGTCACAAACATCGAGGAGTTGCCGATCCAGGTACTACTTCATCCATGGTATTGTAGTGAAATGGGTTGGTGATTTGGTGTTTTTTCCACGTTTCCAGTACATGTAAGTATCATTTTTGGATTCAGGATGTCAAAGAATGTAAGAATGTGAAAACTTTATCTTTTAACAGGCACTCGGACCTTATGTATACTTTTACCGAATTTTTTGCCTAAAGACTGCCTCACATAAGAAGCGTAAACAGTAAAGCCCTATCTGTTTCGTACCCATTGCATCAACGCCCAGTATGTGAAGAGGTCTTTCCGGCAGGCAGCTTTTGAGCTTGGCAAATAATCCCAGTATGGATTATTTGCCAGCTTGCACTGTACAATGGCACTAGCAAAGCTTGTTATATATCAATGCAAGGTACAAAAGACTTAATATCAATCTATTATTTTCTCTTAAGTGCCATTTTCACGTGTATGTCCATCTACTACCATGCTTATATTTATAAGCATGGTAGCTATCTTACATCACTAGCTGGCCAGCCAGCTGACTGAATCCAGTTGTTACCAAGGCGTTGTTACCCAGGCCCCTGCTTTTCATGCTTCATACTTCATATGCCCATTCAAAGCAGCAGTATTCGCTTCAATAAAATCGGGTTTGGCAATAAATACAATATTTTATGCTAACAGGTGTACCTAGAGTATGAGCTTGAGCCATGCAATCTCTATTCCAACTCAGGAGTCCATAAGACTTTGGCGGCCCTGACTCCCACCGACTCCAACTGAATTGGAATTTCAACTCCCAGCCCAGGAGCCAGGGAATTGTTATCATAGGAGTTACCTAATAGTCTTTTCACCTCTAGCTTTGACAAAACCAAATTTCAATCAAATTTTTTCAACCAAATTTCAAACCAAATTCAATCAAATTTAACTTTAAAAAAGTGAAATGGGTTAACTGCCTGTGAGAGCCCACTGACCACCATTCACCAATGTCCTAAATGAGTTGGTCATAAAGGCTTGAAGCTGACTACAATTAGAGTGCTTAACCATGCTTTTTAAATGTGTCTTTTATCATCATGCTTATCATAGCTTTGCATGTTTCAGTAGGGCCTATTGGTTTGAGTGCCTACCTAGCCATAAAGCCCTAGGCTCAATTTGTTTCAGAAATGTAAAGGCTGTGTGAGAATTAAATCTGAAACACAAACAAAAGAAGTTGATAGGCTACAAGAGTATGGAGGATGGCAGTGGTTGTAAGCAGTAAATGTAGGTTGGCTAGGCCAAATAGTAGTTGGTCCTTTTTATTGCATGCCTGCATACTCTTGTTTTCCAGATGGTCATGCATTGAACAAAGTGAGTCTGGTTTCTGGCACTTGTGAGCTAGTCATGTCCACGGACTTTCTCAGCTCAGAGTTGGACACTCTGAGCGATGTTATTGGACTCACACCATCAGATCCTCTGGATATGTTTGCAGGTACGTTGGCACATATAGCTAGCTGATAATTCACCAATTGCTATTTCTTGGCATTATACTATTCCTAGTGTTTTTACTTTTAATTAAGGTATAGTCCAGAAGCATTTTAAAATGATAATACCCTCACTTCTTCTAACCTGACACGCATTGTTGATTTCTTTCAGAAATGTGGTATCAAGTGTTCCTTTGGGCTCTGTTTTCATCCATGTTTATCCACATTATCGCGGCAGCGATCGCCTTCTTCACGCTGCGGAAACATAAAATCGGAAAGTGAGTGTTGGCAATTTTATTGGGAGTTCCTTCGTTTTTTTTTACAAATGGCTAATCGTCACAGCTAGCTATATCACTTAGTGCTTTACATATCAGCCATAGGTAGATAATGTTACTATACTGCGAGTTTTCCAGCTCTCTTAATTCAACGCCGGTCGGCTAAGGGGCCGCAACTGACGGCATTGGTCACGGTCACCGCCTCAGGGGCGGTGGATTTGTGGTGCCCGAGCACCCGCAGTTCCATGCTATTCGCCATCTATGCTATTACCGCATAGTAATTGTCACCACCGAGACACTCAAAGTCAGTACCTACGTGTTACCCGTAGGTGTCTAAAACTCTAGGAGTTCAGACCCGGTGATCTGAGTTGCGGGGAACCTTCTGCGTCCGACGGTGTTTTGTGCTGATGGCTGGTCTGCCGGTGGTGGTCGCTGTCGGACGGCCCCCGGCGGCTCGTCTAAAGCCGGGCGTGTGACTGGGCCGCCGACCCCGGGTGGTGTTTCACCGACGCTGCCAGCGCATCTCGCGAGCTGACGTGTCGGTGAAACACCGCCCCGGTGTGGTGGAGACTGGTGCCGCCCCTGCCTGACCGCCGCCGTGTTTCAGACTGGTGCCGCCTCTGATGCTGGTGGTGGGCGTGGCCGGGCCGCTGACTGCCGGCGTCATCACCAGTGCCACCATCGCGTTCGTGTACCGCGCCTCGGCGTTCACGATGCCGCCGTTCTACGCGCTGCTGTGGGGCTGCGGCCAGACGGTGGCCGGACTGTGCCTCTCCTTCAGCCGCATTCTGGCCACCCTATGAACGGCGGCTGACCGGCGCACACAGACTGAGGGCCACCCGTGGGCGGCACCCGATTCTCATAACTGGGTGCGTGGTGATTTAGACATTGATGCGCTGTAACTCTAGCAAACCACTGATTGGCTGTGAAGTGCTAACCACGGCTGAGATGGAGAGTGTTGCTTGGTGGCAGTCGAGACACTGATCTGACCGGATACTGACGTTTCATGAATGTGTGGAAGTAATATGCTTCAAGTGCATACAGACTGCGGCATGCTGTCTGCTGACGTGGGTCATTGTGTGGTGCTAGTCCATTGTCATCGTTATTCGATCCATGTTATTTGTTAATGCGTTGATGTGAAACAATGAGATCTCTTGCAATTAGCTAGAGGTCATAAATATTGCGGTACTTTGAAGTTGTGGGAAGCAGGGCTGAGGGCTGTGGGAAGAAAACCGATGCTGCTGGAAAACGATTTGACGGAATGAAATCGGTGTGGTGCCATTTTGTAGTTAAATGTACAGTCACCAGCACTTGCTACTAATCACCTCGTTTTTGGTCAGTAGTTTGAAGACCGATCAATTCTCAGTTGCGCAAGATACTTTATATGATCCGTTTGGGCGTCCGATTTTCGAATATCTAACTTGTTTTTGTATATTCGCAACATTTTGGGATGGGGAACCAAAAAACCTCTTTTCTGCCCTAAAGTGTGCCCCAAGAAGTCGTAGAACCTAGCCCCGCCTCTGATCCATAGACCACTAGTGCCATCTCTTGTCAGCCGAACAAACCGCAGAGGTAAATAATGTCACGTGACCTTTGCACACGCTACAATTACTACGCAGCTGTAGTAGGGGAAGCGGGGCGAAGGCGTGGAGAGGGATACGATCGGTCGGCTGGGGTCAGGTCGCCGAGGTCAGAGGTCATCCGCTGGAGGGTGTTTGGGCGGTTGGGCCGTGTGGGCTGGGGCCTGCAGAGTGGGGAGCGCATGGACCTGTCTGGAAGCAAGTCCTACAACGCTGCGGCAGTTGAGAATATTGGGAGGAGAGAGAGAGAGAGAGAGAGAGAGAGAGAGAGAGAGAGAGAGAGAGAGAGAGAGAGAGAGAGAGAGGAGGGAAAGGAGAGAGCGAGAGAGAGAGAGAGAGACCGCTAAGAAAGACTGGAGGGAAGGGATAAGGACCAGAGGAGAGAAAACAGAGATGGAAAAGGAAAAAGGGAAACAAGAGAGGGTAGGCTGAGAAAGAGGGAAATAGGTAAAGCAGTAAAAGGGAGCGAGAGACGAAATGATATATACCTACCTACCTTCCTATCCTAGGTAGGTGTGTCTTAGACCATGCGAAAATCATCTCTATTTGATAGAATTTAAGAAAAAAGGGCATACAATTTCTTAAAAAAAAAAAACGTTGTAGCAATTTTGCCTTTGGCATAGGTGTTGAAATACTGCTGAGGCTAAAAGGCTGGACCATGACTGCATTTGAAATTGGCCAAGTAGTTGTTTGGCTAAGTGAAATTAAACTCGCCAAATGCGACGCATGACTTATGTCACATAAATCATAAATGACTAGAATACAGGTTTGCGACTTACGCATACGTTTAAAGGGACCCTCCCACCTTCAAAAAAATTAATGAATTTACATGAAAGTGATGTCGCTCGGTTCAGAAAGAGCGAAAACGAAACACACTATACCTACTCCTATAGTCTCTCTTGAAAGTATCGCGACTCTGGGGGGAGGCGCCACCTGCCCCAGCCGCGGTTGAGCGGAAAAGTTTGAGAGCCGCCGTTAGCACTGACCGAAGCCTGACACGGGGGCGAGGGGAGTGGTTGCGGACTGCGGAGGGATGAGGGGAGAGGTGGCAGTAGCCGTCCGGTAACTTGTGAATTCAGTCAGCATATGGTCAACGGAAGCCACCCTACTCGCAGAGTATTCGCAGAGGACTTGTTGAGATTTGTTTCATTGCAAAGTTTACAATTTGACCGGCACCACTGTCACACCATCGGCACCACTGTCACAGGTTTTTGGTAAAATCCGGAAATCCGTGCCCGAATACAAAAAAAAACATCAGTTGCATCCGCTAAAAGAATGCATATTGCATGCATCCGTGTTGCAGATGCACCCGCGAGCGGATTCAAATCACAAAAATTCTCTCTCTAGGCAATGAGTCATATATTTGAAGTTATCTCTTTTTAATGAGCCGCTTACTGAGCGGCGCAAAAAGAAGAATATTCACATTTTAGCCGTCTTCTTTTTAAAAGCCCTATTTGCTGCCAGGCTGCCCCTTTCCCCTCCCATGACTTGTTTACGTCATTCGGAAGGCCTCTTCACTGCAGGGTTATTGCGGAACTTTGCTTCGTTGTGATTTTACGCGTCTCGCACACTGAATGATTGGCACCCACTGGCAAACCAATGGAGCTTTAGGGCGCGCCGACTGCCGGAGTCATTTTGCCTGGCAGACCAATGAGCGCCCGGGCTGGTGAACCCAAGCGGCGCCGGTATCCGCCTGGGGCGGGGGACGGGGTCAAGGAAGAGCGATACGAGCATGACCTTTGGCCGGCCTCCACCTGTTTTGACCCAGTTGTCAGCCTCTGGTGCCTGCGTCACAGAGCTGGGCATTGCGCAACTTAAGTCCGCAACTCCGCAACTCCGCAACTTGCGGACTACCCTCTTGGTAGCGGAGTTACGGATCGGCTACCGAGCCCAAAAAAGTTGCGGAGTTGCGAGTTGCGGAAGCGAAAAATTCTAAAGCGCAACCGCTACCGGGGCCGCCACCGCTGGTGGGGGCGCCGCTGTACTCTTTGCACTCCACTGCACACTGCACGTGTTTCCAGGCTAGTTTTTGAAGCTGATTTCGAATTTAATGACCGTTTGAACATTTACGAAGTAGTTTTAGTGCCTTAGTAACATATTACGAGGCTTTCAGTGGTGGTTGACACTGGATAGGCGGTAGGACGCCAACTGGTTGACCTGACCTGACCTGACCCGACCAGGCCCAAATGCATGAAGACGTCATCTTTGATCAAAACCAACATGAAATTTGTTATCAGCGCCCCCCCAAAAAAGCATAAAAGCTTCACTTTACGAAGTTCTAGCAGGTCCGATTTTCCCGACTTTTGGGTCATTGACCTGGCCTGGAAGGTCAACCAATGACCTATGACCTTAAAATTGGGTATCATCGGCTTCCTCTCGTCACGGGCAACACGCTCGTTTTTCTCCCGCGAAGCTCTAGCTCGATCAGGGGCCGAACGGCAGGGGGGAGGGGGTCCAACCGACGTACACGTTAGACGCTGTAAAACACCGCACACAGCGAGGGTTAAGTCAAATTTTATGGTCGCCAGCACGGGGCCGGGGGCGGGGGAGGGTGTTTGGACACCCCTCCGTAAGGTTTTCCGCAAATATATAAAAAGGCGGCGGCAGCGCGGCTGTTTTCGACACTGCTATTAACACATCCTTTCCACACATTGTATCAACATGTCAGACCCAGGTCACCTCAGGTCAGGTCACCAGGTCAAGTCAAGGGACCCAATCTCCGAAAAAAAAATTAAACACCTGCCCTAGCAATACAGGGCAATATAGCAATATAGATACACCTATTGACCGATATCACTTTGAAACTGTCTGCATGTGACAAGGGTAACAAGATATAGGTACAAAGTGTGTTGTCTCATATTCTTTTTATATACGTATATTTGTGACTTAAGGTAAGGTAAACTGTGTGACCTCTCCATTATAAGTCAATGGGAGAAAATACAACTCGTCCGGATTTGCGGCAAAATGATCCCAAACAACTAAAACATGCAAAGAGTAGCACTGGCAGGTCATTTACGTCGACTGGTGTCGCAATGACTTGCGCATTGAGCATTATATGTCACGTGACGTCATCAGAGGTCACCAACAGAGGTCAACCAAAGGTACTACCTGTCAGACATAACACTGCACTTCAGGACTAAAACTGATAAAACATAGGAACCTAATAGAGGTTGGTAGCGGAGTTGCGGAGTTGCGGAGTTGCGAGTTGCGGTTTTACGATCTGCAAAATAGTTTCGGAGTTGCGATTGCGCTTTGGGTACCTTAGGTTGCGGAAGGTAGCGGTAGCGGTTTCCAAATTTCGGTAGCGATGCCCACCTCTGCTGCGTCATATACCAGTTTTCCTCCTACCGCTGGCGTAGAATCGAGGTACTGCGTACTTTTTATGATACAGGCCATGACCTCACTGCTGGGGTCCTCAAACTGAATGGAATAGTTCGCCGAGCCGCCGCAGCCCATGACGCGATACTTTCAAGAGAGACTATACACTGCCACTACTTTATCCCTGCCCCAACCCCTGCCACTACTTAACCTCAATCCCTACCCTACCCTACCTTACCTTACCCTAACTACCTTACCCTACCCTACTTTATCATATCCTACATATATCCCAGTAAACATGCCGACGTCGGCCCGACGTCGGCCGACGTCGGGGTGACGTCGGCAACTCGGCATCGGCATGCCGACGTCGGCCCGACGTCGGTCCAACCTCGGCACGACGTCGGCTGGATGTCGGATATGCCCGCATGTACCGACGTCCAGCCGAGGTCGGGCCGACGTCGGACCGAGATCAATAGCTGAGGTCCAGCCGACGTCGGGGCGACGTCGGACCGACATCGGCCGCTGTTTTGACCGTTAAAATAATATAAAATACATGTTTCATGTTTCATAAAGAGCTTCTGTATTCAAAATATCCTCAGGAAACTCAAATCTTCCTCCACGCCACAACCCCCTGATCCGGACTGGACGGGAAACTTTATCCCATTTGGGATTGCCCGTAAGCCGAGCTCGCCCGTAGCCGGGTGCGGTGAGTGCTTGGGGGCTGCTCGGCCTATCCTTTGGTCATGCTCAGCCCCGGCAACTCACCAGGGCCGGGCCCAGTTCATATAGAAAGGCCAGTCGGCAAGTGTCACTTTGCCAAAGTGCCTCTTATCAAAGGGACACTTTGGGAAACGTTGGTGCAGGTGTGTAAGAGTGGCTATATGAATCCATTGTGGGGTCGCCCTTTCCAATAAGTGTCACGTAACAGCAATGGGACCAGGGACTCTATATGAACTGGACCCAGGGTGCTCGCCAAGAAGACCAATGTCTCCGACTCTCCATCCTATCATCCTTCCGGCTCTGAAATAGTCTTGTCAGACCGAAAGGGCATAACCCAACAAAACAAACTAAATTCGCTATCTGGCTGCGTGGTGTAGTGGTTGGCGCACTAACCTCGCGTTCAAATGACACGGGGTTCGAATCCCATTGCCGGCTGATGCTTTTGGCGTGTTGTCCCAGTAAACATGCCGACGTCGGCGACTGGGGGGCTCGAATCCCGCCGCCGGTTGATATTTTTGACGCGTTGTCCCAATAAACATGCCGACGTCGGCCCCGTCGGTCCAA